TTCTAACCACATCTCACCATATACCACCACTATCACCAACGATACTCAACAAGATCTTTTTCCTGGCTTAAGTTTCCTCATTTGTCTTCCTGATTCTACTTTCACCTCTCTGTATTCTACTATTGATACTGTAGACAAAGTGCTAGATCTTTTTTTAAAATATCAGTTGTGAAGCATGAAGGTACTTGTCTGTATTCCTAGCACACACAGAGACTGAGGCACAAGATCATAAGTTTGAGGCTCTGTTACGAAAACAAACAAAAAGATTTAAGTCTGATAGAGTAATCTACTAAAAATAATTCTGATTTCAACTACAGTTAAAACCAAAGCTCTCACAATTTAGTATTTTTACTATAAAGACTAAAATTTCAGAACTCAAGATTTTTGGCAGGAGGAAGGAAATTTTGAGGTCAGCATAGGCTACAGCTGAGCTATGAAACAACAAGACCCTGCTTCCAAAAGACAAAATAAGGATTAGTAGGATGACTCAGCAGGTAAAGGTACTTGAAAGCCTGATGACTCGAGTTTGATCCTGGGAACCCACATGGTGAAATGAGAAAAAAGAATGATGTCTGCAAATTTTCTTCTGACCTCCACACACATGCTATAGCACATAAACACAAATATACATGCATACATATGCACACAAATAAATGAATTAAAAACCAAAACATACAACCAAGATGATCTTTATTTTAAATATTTTAACTCAGATAAGTTTTAAAAAATATTTTATTTATTATTTTTATTTTATGTGTATGCGTGTATTGCCTGCATGTATGTAAGTGCACCCATGTTGTGCAATGCCTGCGGAAGACAGAAGAGGCTGTCGGATCCCCGGAACTGGAGTTATGGACAGTTGTTAGTTGCATGTGGGTGCTGGGTTTTGAACCCAGGTCTTCTGTAAGAACAGTCAGTATCCTTAACCTCTGAGGTATCTTTCCAGCTCCCTCAGATAAGTTTTAACTTTCTAAATATTAATAATTAAAATACAGTTTCATAATAAGAATAAATAATAACACTAATTTACTATTCTAATACTGTTCTAATTTTAATATTAGTGGACAGGAAATCAATAAAAGCTTATTCTACAATGATACAGGAATAATAGTTAACAGAAAATAAGAGCTCAAGTAATAAATATAGCATACTTTATATTTGCATGCTATGCAACATTAAGAATGATAGTATTTAACCTCAGGACTTAGAAGGTAGAGTTAAGAGGACCAGGAGTTCAAAGTCATCCTTAAACTATACGTTGAGCTTAAAGTCAGCCAGAGCTACATTTTTTCTATTTAAAAGATAAAAAAAAACCCCATTATCTCCAGCATTGCAAAATAATATTAGCAAGATATTCATATGTAAGTTAAATTCTCCCTCTCCTGCACTCATATCATGTGGTATCTTTAGCAATAGGGTTTTACTGTCTACTTCTGGTGTACAACCAACATTATTGGCAATGGCCTTTATTGTTTTGGGGACCTCTAGAGTTCCTCTGGCCAACAGCTCATAGGGGGATAACCCACCTCTGGCTCTGGGATTTTCATTTAACAACCGTATGACATCTGGTAGGGCTTTTTTCCATCCCCGTAGGGTTCCTTCTGTGCTTAAGGCTTAAAAAAAAACAAAAAACTGTGTATAGGGAGAATTTTTCCCCCCATTATTCCTCGTCTTTTTACATATTTCTCCCTTAGTAACACCTTTCTCCTACTATTCCTCTCTCTCAGGTTCCTTCTTTCCCTTTACCTCCTAGTTCCCGTCCATAGTCCTGGTTTCTGCAGTTATATCAGGCTATGAACTCATGTATAAGGATTTGGTGCTAGGATCCACAAATAAGGGAGAACATATGTTTTTTGTTTTTCTGAGTCTGTGTTACTTCATTTAGTATAACAGTTTCTAGATCCATCCATTTTCCTGCAAATTTCATTATTTCATCTTTCTTTAGTGCTGAGTAGAACTCCACTGTGTAAATGTACCACATTTCCATTAACCATTCATCAGTTCCATCTTTGTTTTTATGTTTTTAATAAAATATGTAGTTACCCATATTAAACCCAAGTTGTAGATTTAAAAAACTAACAACAGCTATTTCTAAATAATAGAATCTGGGCTACAGTTGTATAATAATTGTCTAGTCACTGTCCCAGGTTCCAGGGATGAAGCTTCTAAACTCCTGGTTTTTCGTGACAACTTTTTTTAAATGATATATTTTAAAAATATTTTATTTTTTATTTTACATGTATGAATGTTATGCCTGCATGTAGGTTGGTGTACCCATGTTGTTCCATGCCCGCAGACATCAGAAGAGGGCATCAGATCCCCCGGAGCTAGAGTTACAGACAGTCGTTAGGCAGCATGTGGGTGCTGGGAATTGAACCTGGGTTCTCTGCAAGAACAGTCACTGCTCTAACTGTTGAGCCATCTCTCCAGCACCAATATTTTTAAATGAATGTCTCATAGAATAAAAACCTATGTGACTACTCTTCTAAATTTTAAGTACTAGAACTAAGGGGAAGTGAAATAAAAATATTTCTTGGACACGTACCTATGAAATCTATTGAACAGTTATTAAACTACTAGATAACTGTATATATACACAGGTTTTTGTTGTTGTTTGGTTGGTTGGTTCTTTTTGAGACAGGGTCTCCCTGTAGCCCAAATGGCCTGGAATTTGCTATGTCACTATACAGACTAGGCTGGCCTAGATCTCACAGAGATCTGCCTACCTCTGCCTCCTGAGTACTGTGCACCACCACCAAGTCTGGCTATTAAGCTTTTAAAACTACTTCTTTCTAGATGTATCATAGTTGACAATGGTTTCATCAAGATGTTCGCCTATTTGTTATAAGGCAATGGGTATCTGTACTAGGTGCATTCTCTTTCTTTTCCAATCTCACTTTCCTTCTCCTGCTAGTACTTTTTGATAATTATCTACTAAGAAAAATCAGGTTTGGAGCGAGCCCCTTTTCTCTCAGGCAGAATTCAAAGATATGCAGTAAAAACAGTTTTCCGAGGGAATTCTTCTTCTGCTATACCACTGGTTTACCATAAAGATATATCTTTCCACACAAGTTATAGTTATACCCTGACTGACTTGCATTCATTCTCTTCTCATGGTAGATGATCAGACATACAAAATATTACTTGAAGAAGCTTAATAAAAGCAAAAAAGAAACAGTAACCCATGGGAAAATTTGTGGCATTATAAGAAAGTTCCCCTGAATGATATAATTAATAATAATAAAGAATAAAATTCATGTCTGAAAATACCTAAGATGTTTTCGAAGTTTCTCGATCTCCATATTTTGTTCAGTTACTGTTTTCAGAAAATGTTGGTTAGTCTGTCAAAAGAACAAAACAAACCTATTAGAACATTTAAGAATTGCATTTTAAAAGATGAAATAAAGTAAGTTAAAAAGAAAAAACATCTGAGGTAATATTCTTCATAATGATTGTGATTTTTGAGGGTAAAATGTAGCTGTGGCCTGCCTTCTTCATCTCTACTTCGCCTCCACTTCCAGAACCTGCATTTCTATGTTTTATGGCTATCTCTAGTCAATGTTCTTTTGTTCATCTACCTGTGTAGGAAACTACAGGTTATAGAATTAATATACTATCCTGTTGTAGAAAAGACTAACATTGCTGATGGAATGCGAGTAGAAATAATGCAAATTCCAGTTTCATGGGCAGACCAGCAAAACGTCTGTGTTCTACACTGGCTTCAGAGTTCATTAGAAGTAAGTTTCAGCACCAGAGCTAACTTGCCTGGTCTGTTTTATTTTAGCTTATATCGAAAATTTTAAATTATTTGATTACAAAAATTGGTAGCCTTTCTATATACCAATAACATGCAATCTGAGAAAGCATTCATGGAAACCCTCCCAATCACAATAGCCTCAAAAAATAAAATATCTAGGAATAAACCAAACCAAAGACACTGAACATCTCTACAATGAAAGTTTTAAGTCTTTGAAAAAGAGATTGAGAGAGACCCTAGGAAATGGAAAGACCTCCTATGTTCATGGATTGGTAGAATTAATATTGTGAAAATTACCATCCTACCAACAGCAATCTATAGATTCAATGTAATGCCGATCAAAGTCCTCATGATATTCATCACAGAGCTAGAAGAAAAACCATCCTAAAATTCATATGGAATCACAACAGGTCCTGGATAGCCAAAGAAATCTTGAGCAAAAACAGCAATGCTGAAGGGTGGGGGGAATCACCATACCAGATGACAAACTATATTACAGAGCTATAGTTATAAAACCAGCATGATCCTGGCACAAAAACAGACATGTAGATCAATGGAGCACAACAGAAGACCCAAACATGATTGCATGCAATTTCAGCCACCTGATATTTAAGAAAAGTTCCAAGAAACACTGGAGAAAGGACACCATGTTCAACAAACGGTACTGGCAAAACTGGATCTCCACCTGTAGAAGAATGAAATTAGGCGCTTATCTTTTCACTCTGCACAAAAGTCAACTCCAAATGAATCAAAGGCCTCAATATGAAATCTGAAACTCTGAAACTCTTAGAAGAAAACAAAGGGAATACCCTACAAGATATAGGTACAACAGCTACTCAGGCATTAACATCAACAATAAACAAGTGGGACTCCATTAAACTAAAAAGTTTCTGTTCAGCGAAAGAAACAACCAAAGAAGTGAAGAGAACACCTATTGAGTGGAAGAAAAGCTCCACAGGCTACACATCTGATATAGGATTAATATCCAGAATATACAAAGAACTCCAAAATCAAAGAAAAAAATAAACCCAGTAAAATGATGGGCGGCTATAGACCTGAACGGAAAGTTCTCAAATAAAGAAATAAAAATGGCTGAGAAACACCTTAAAAAGTGCTCCACATCTTTAGCAATTAGAGAAATGCAAATCAAAACCACTTCAAGACTTCATCTTACCCCAGTCAGACTGGCTAAGATCAAGAGAACAAAAGACACCAAATGCTGGTGAGGATGTGGAGAAAAGGTAACGCTCATTCACTGCTGGTGGGAATATAAACTCGTGCAACAACGATGAAAAGCAGTGTGGAGAACTCTTAAAAAAAAAAAAAGAATCTACTAAATGATCTGGTTATACCACTCCTTGGCATATACTCAAAGGACTCATCCTATTGTAGAAATACTTGTGCATTTTTTTTTGCTGACCTTTACATAATAGCTAAGAAATTGAAACAACCCAAATGTCCCTTAACTGATGAATGAACAATGAAAATGTCATTTATACATGGAGTTCTACTCAGTGGTAAGGAAAGATGAAATCCTGAAATTTGCAGGTAAATGGATGAATTAGAAACTGTCAAACTAAGTGAAGTGAACACAGACCCAGAAAAGTAAGCAATGTATGTTCTCCCTCATTTACGGATCTGAGCACCAAATCCCTATATGATGTAACTGCAGGAGTGAGGGAAATGGAAAGGATTTATGGCGGTAAAGGGAAAGAAGAGCCAGAGAGAGGGGGATAAGAGGAAACGGATATTACCACCGGTGAAATGGGGAAAATGCAGGTATTCAACTGGGAAGGGAGGAGGGAAAGATGCACAATGAACCATGGCGGTAAAGGGGGAAAAAGAATTCGAGAAAGGGGGAAATAATGGGAGACAGGTATTATCAAGGGGGAATTGGGGAAAATGGGGGAGGAAAGAGGGGGGCAAGACAGGGAGAGGAGAGACTGAAAAAAAAAGGTTTAGGTGATAAGAAAAACCAGAGGGAAATGTATTAGATCAAAAAACTACTGAAAAATATACAATATGTGAACATGAGTGCATGTGTATAGCTGAAAGCTATATAACAAGAAACACAGTGCCAGACAGAACCCCCCCCCCCTTTGACTTGTTGGTCAGGATAGTTCAAGAGACTCCCAAAATAACATAAGCTATTGCCACAGTCCTTGATTATCTCCCAGAACTCAAAGGTCAGACTCTATTGCTGAAGAGAGGGCATACTTTGGACATAAGACTTGGTGGAATGGAGCTGGAACTGATCTGAAGCCTCCTCTCTGAAGATAAGCTCTCACAGTTTGAGAGGATACTATGTAAGCTGCTAAGGAAGAAAGAAAAATCAGTTAACGGTCCAACCCCAACTTTAAAGCCTAACAACCACAACAATGACTGGCACAACAAATTAAAGCAGTCTAGTAGTGGCACTTTTAGGTAATCAATAGCTGTCTGACTGAACTTAAAGCCCACTCAATGGGAGGGAACTCATGTGTGGCACTGTAAACACAGCCAATACACATGGCTGAAGAGGTCATATATCCTAGAGAAAACCCCACCTCAGTCATATCGCTACACAAATGAAATTTCTTTCTGTATGCTCAATATGGATCCTTATATTTACAGACAAGTATACCACTCACCTCTCATCAAAAAGGCTTCTTTTAGCAATGGATGGAGGCTACTACAGAGTTCCAAAACTGGTCACACACTGAGACTATGTGTCTGAGAAATGCCTAGCCCAAAGTGACGCACCTACAGTGGAACCTCTACACCTAAGGCTCATGGAACATAGTGGAACAGGAGGTAGAGAGACTACTAATACATTCCTTAACTCTCGCCAGTGAAGCTTCCTCATGCAACAGAGGGTGGTGAACAAAGGTCATAACTGGCTAAGTTTTAGAGAATAAGACTGCAGAGTTTGTGTCTCTGGATAAGACTCCTATATTAAACCTCACCCACCAGGGACCATTGCAGAAATGGGGCGGAAGGAGCCAGGGTTTGTGCATGAACATAAGAAAACAGAGTCAAGCCTCTGGGAACTTGCTCATATGAACTTGCAGCAATGGTGACAGCATTCACAAATTCCATGTAGACTCAGACAAAAATCCAGCATAAAACTGGGGAAATGGGCAGCAGGCCCCAATCTTAGCATGAAATCTTTTGGGTGGGGTATGAAGTATGTGGATGGGCAAGGGAGTCTAAATATGATTAAGATTTCTTGGATGAAATGCACAAAAATTCAATAAAAATATACAAAAATTATCTATTAGCTGAGGGGGGTGGTATATGCCACAGCATGTGGATGTAAAAAGACTACTTTTGGGCATCAGTTTTCTCCCTCCACTATGGGCATCCAAGGATTGAAATCAGGTCATCAGTCTTGGTGGCACATGCCTTTACCAGGTAAGCCATCTTTTTAGCCCAATTTATTTTATTTTAGAGTTAATTAAAAAATCGTAAGACAGTATCTTGCTATATAGCCCAAGCTGGTCTCAAATGTTCTATCCTTCTGTACTTTTAAGAGTACAGGGATTAGAAGAGCACTCCTTGGCTCAGCTTATTTTCTTTCTTTTTTGTGTATGTATTTTGTTTGATTTTTAAATTTTTTTAATTAAAAAAATATTTAATAACCACATACTTAGAAGAAACATTTCATTACATCAGCATTGACATATTCAATAACAATTTTCTGAGCTAGGCTGCATCTCTTACAAAATTGGCTGTACATTTTTAGGTTTACAGTTGAATTATTACAGTTATATAATATTATACTCAGTATAAATCCTGACATAAAATTAAATGAGGTTTTAACTTTTAAAAAAGATCTCCATTTCATTATTAAAAGAGTTTCATGCAGAAAACTTCATTTTTAATGCAACTGACATTAAGATGTTTGCACATGCTTTTCTAATCTCTCTATATCAGATTTATTACTAGTCACAGTCGGTTACTTTCTGAGCTCCTTGGCATCTAAGCATGGATATAAAGTCATCAGGTAGATTTTAACGATAATGAATGTTTTTCACATCTACTCATTATCAAGGAGCAAATTTTTATGCTTTGAAGAATTATTACTTTTTTGATTGTTATACTTTAAATTTTTAATAGCTACATGATTAGAAGCCTTTCACTACAGCTTTAACATATTCAGTAACACACTCCAGAGCAACAGTACATCTCTTTCACAAGTGGGTGCAAGTTTCTAGGTTCACAGTTGAATTAATATAGTTATGTATTATTGAACTCAGTATAAGCCCTGTAAGACATAAAATTGGATGAGTTTTTAACCTTTAAAAAATATCTCCATTTCATTTTATAATTTATTATTCCTTGCAGACAGACTCATTGTTTTTGCTACTAACACTGAGATGTCGCACTTGCATCTCTAATCTGTATGTATCTGATTATTACTAGTCATAATCGGTTGCACTTGGATCCTTGGCGCCTGTGTATGTTTATAAACTCATCGGCAGATTTCAATGGTAATGTTTATCACCTCTACTAATTAGCATGACGTAAATTTCCATGCTTCCTTCTCAAATATAATACATTTTCCATTCTCCCTTTCTTTTGCTCTTTCACATCGTCTAGTAG